ATGTAAAACTTAGGTTTTCAATTCATGATTTAATGCATGCAAAACGCCTTGATTTTAATCCAATTAAATTTAGAAAATATATGGATTTTAAATGATTCACTAATATTTAATTTGAGGCAAAAAATAATTTACAAAAATAATTTTTCTGTTTCCCAATAAATGCTCTCAAATTAATTAGCAATCTAATCCAATTTATCTTCATAATTTAATTAATATAAATCAAGCCATTTAATTAAAAATCATGGATCCAATGCATGAACAATTATAATCAGCATTAAATTATTCCATGCATCAAATAATAGACAGAAGCAATATAAATGGCCAATGGATTCAGCTTTTAACATTTAAAAACTATTCTTGCTGTACGGGCATCCTTCAACTGTCTGTAAACACCCATAGGAAGCTTGTACGCGTCAGGAGAAGCAAAACGCCGCTTGGAACGAGCCCGGAGGACCCCACACGCGCTGGCACGCGCCTAGGGCAAGCTGCACGTGCTCCCACGCGCCCCCACGCGCCGGCACGCGCTTGGGGCGCTTGGGACGCGCCTCCACGCGCCTTCCCGCGCGTGGAGTGTACCAACTCCTTGGCTGGCGCGTGAGATCCACGCGCCAGCTTGTCATTGACCAGCCCACTCCTGGCGCGTGTGGAACACGCGCCAGGCTCACCTAGCCACTGCCACACCTGATCCGGGCCATCTTCGACGCCTCTTCTCGCCGCCGGCGAAGCTCCGGCCACCGGAAAAATGCCGAAAAAATTCCAAAAAATCCAGAAAAATCCCAGAAAATTAAATTAAGCCTCAAAAAATTCCCAAAAAATTCGGAAAAATTCCAGAAAATTACTGAAGCATAATTTAACCCTTTCGGACCCTCTTGAAGCTTCATAGCATCCTTTGATGAATATTACATGGCTTTAATAAATACTTACAATTTGAAATACAATGGAAAAAAATTAAATTACATCATTGAATTTTCAACCGGCTAAAACAAAGCCTTAATTACATTCATCCAAAAATAAAATTACATTCTATATACCTATAAGCTTCATCCATGACCCAAATACACATCATCATCCATTCACAATTATACATACATCAACATGTATTAATATATATCAACATAATAAATCATACATCAACATATATCAATAATTTTACATATGTATATATAATTTGGATCCATGAATATGATTCTTATAAACACATGTTCTCTAGTAATGAATCAAACCATGTGCTCTGATACCACTGTTGGGAAACGTGCAAATTTTTAAAACTTTTTGAGGGATTTGCAATCATAGATCTTGATTCATTACATGGAGACAAGTTTTATGCAAAGATAAATAAAAGATGATGCATAATTCAATAAACAGATTGAATATTCACATCAAAGGTCTGAGTAAACCTTTTGAACTTTCCTCTAAAGTGAATGTTCTCACTTATTGTAGATCCCTTTAGCAAGATCCTTTCTCCTTCTTTTTGATTATTATCTTCCCTTTAGGAATCACCAATATGCCTTGATGAATGACCTTGGAATCTAGGCTGGTGGTAGCCTCCTTTAGAAGAGAAACAAAACCCTAAAATCTAGAGAGAGAAAGTGTATTCCTTTTTCTTGTTCTCCAAGTCACCCTTAAAATATACATGAACTCATGTATATATAGGCAAAATAAAAATAAGAATAAGGAAACAATAAATCATTCTCCATCTCTAATTCAACTTTCTCAATCCTAACATGACTCCAATATCAACTTGGGCTATTGGTGAGAATCCTTTTGGGCTTACTATTTTCTTGGCTCTTATAAATTAATAATTGGTCCGGTCCATTAAACCATGGACCCAATTCAATTAATTCATAAATTAATTTCTACTCCACTAAAAGAAATTAATTGCACTCCAATTAAATAGTAAATAACCTCTAAGTCAATGTCGCACTTTGACCCCTCTATGCTTAATTATTTATCGGATAATTAAAGCCATCAATCCGACAACATAATTAATATAATTATTTTGTTACCTTTGATTATTTCCGGTTCGATCACAATAAAATATTTATTTGACAAAAAATAATAATAATTTATTAAATAAATATATATATAAAACATTTGTCTAAAACATACGAAGGCCTTCGAATTTAATTTGTGATCAACCATAATCAAAACAAAATAAATACAAATAGCACTGATGCAAATATTGAGAATATAGACCTCTAATTATTAATTACATAACTACCCAAAGTGTCGATCTAAGGATCCCGAGGTATCCGCCGAACAAATCAAAGTAATTATTAATTAATAAAAGAGTCTATACTTCTCTCATGCTTGAGAGTCAAAAGCCATGACTGTGATAGAGAGCAATTGCATACGACAGCTCTCGCAATATATCTCAATCTATCGTGGACCCGGTTTAAGTCTTAACTAATTAAATGTCCATCCATAATTACCGACTTTAAACCATTTATGATTACTAATTTATATCATAGTATTAATTGCCATTACATACATATATAAATATATTTTGTAATCAAGCGGACACCATCAATTCCATAAAGAATCGAAAAATAATACATTCCATTCACCAATTGTATAATGCTTTAATAATAATATCCAGACAAGAAACCATGACTTTTACAATCCAAAATTAGAATTTGCTATGCTAGGGCACACATATCCTAACACTTGGTTCTGGAGAAAACTTCTACTCTAGCTCGCCTTTTGTCAAGCACAAGCTGAACAATGAAGCTGCTGCTATGGTTCTTTTTTATAATTGGGGGTTCCTTGTGGCCCTCTCTATAAGCATATATAAAAGCATCTATTGTTATTACCAATAGCCATTTAAGCAGAGTTTTGGTGCGAAAACTTTAGCAAGCTTTGTGTACCATGTTTCGATGGAGAGAAATAACATAATTTTCGAAAACAAATCGAATCATCCAATGAAGACATTAGATTATTCTCCATCAAGAAATGTAGTTGCCCCTATACCGAGATAATTGCGGTTGAGTGGAACCTTCCAAACTCATTTTTCGAACCCTCCCAAACAAACCCCTTCTTCTCATTCACAAATCCCTCGACTCTTAATGCTTTCTGGTGTTACTGTGCCCTCCTATCTTTAACGGTTATGAGGTAATAGGTTTGAATTTCAGTTCTGATCTTTCAAAAATGTTTCCACTATCATTTCTCTTTCAAGAAACTACAAGAATTTAAATAAACAAAATGAATAATAAAGGTTGTAATGTATGCAATACAATTGTTGTTTTGTGATTTACCCCGTGCACAAAATGTATATAGTAAGTGTGTTTTTTTGTAATATGCCCGAATAACGAAGGTTAGAATTGTCTCAAAAAGACCCTGCCAGGTAACAGTAACTTAAACTTGGTAAAAACTATCAAGGGTCTATAAACATAGGGGAGGTGTGGCAAGGAAGTGGAGCTAGTGCCCAAGAAATGTGCCAAGAAAGAAAATAGAACCAACTTTGTGGGAGCTGTATTATGTGTTTGCTATTATCTTAGTTTAAGACATCACATCACGTTAATCGGTTATCCATGAAATTCAATAGTAATACACTAAGTAAGGTTCAAAGCCAAAAGCTACCTATCCTGATGCAGTAACTTTCCGTATATACTCTCTCTAGTATTTGCATAATCATCTTTTGCATTTAAACAGCCAATTTCCAATCATGTGGGGGATTATTACAAACTGTGAATGAAAATTATTTGATTAGTTTCGGGGATTGTTACAAATTGTGAATGAAAATTATTTGATTAGTCATCAACAGATTGAACTGAACAAGTGTGATCACTGGTTAGTTGTGGGATGAAAAACTGCAACTCAAAACCAACAGACATAACATATTCAATGCAAACTACTACAATGGTTATGTTTAGTGATGAACAAATACATATAAATGGTTGTGTCCAAGTGATGAAGAGACGCATATAAATAGTTGTATCTAATGATGAAGAGACACATCCAATCCGAAAAGACACTCCTATTTCTATATATACTCACTTAGGCTGCCATAATTCAATCATTCAATTCATTTTCTTATCTCTCCCTCTCCAAACTTTTCAATTCATTTTCTTATCTCTCCCTCTCCAAACTTGAACCCAACCCAAGTAGGTTCAAACCATAGGTCAAGTGGTTCGAGCCACTTAAACCTTAATCCAATTTCATCGAACCATTTTAAGATTGGTTCAAACCATTTGGTTCGGATTGCACTACATTTAGTATTTATATAATATAGATGCATTTTTGAGTCAGATAGAGTATTACACAAAGGAAGTTCACCGTACCATTGTATCCTACGAGACAAGCACCACAAAGTCCATCAACACCACGTGGAGTGTAAATTGTCTCAAATACTAACATCAATCCAGGTTCTTTATTTATTTATTATTATTTTCTTGATTTAATTTGCATATTTAATTGAATATCAAGTTACATATTTAATTAATTATTTTTAGCATATTATTAATTATCTCATAATATATTAGTACACAATATATTAGTACACAAATAGTTATATCTTAAATGTCGAAACATATATTTTTCAAAAATATCTTGCAGCAGTTACACATCATAGACGTGATAATGGTTAAAAAAGAGGTAGTATTGTTGATGACTCTTCCCAAATAGTCTAGCAATAAAGATGAGATTGAAGAAACATCAAAAAAAAAAATAAAAAAAAATAAAAAAAAATGGAGGAAGGATAATTTGTTGAAAAACATGCCAGTCAACAAGCCCAACAAGTCAATTTAGGTTTGGCTCCGTTATGAGCCAAAAAACTAAGCTAAAACTTGGATCATTATCTGAATGAGTTCGTTCAAACAAAGCTTTTAACAAGCTGACCCCAACTAAATAAAAAAAACTTGATTTGATTCATTTCCAATCTTGTCCGACCACACAAAATTTAAGTCGAGCATTAGAAAACTATCAAGAGTATATTAACACATGGAGGTGGCAAGGGAGTGGAGCTAGTGCCCAGTATATGCATGTCCAGGGCAGATGTAGTGTACCGTTGGGGAATGGCATGCAAATAAAAATACCAGGTATTGCAAATGAGCAATAGTCAGAATCATAAATCAATTCATGGAGCTAAAAACTTAATTTTGTACGGCATAACTTTATATATAAATAATAAACAAAGTAAAAGCGCGCCAATCAGGCACTCCATCTCAGGTTCAAAGGATGAATCAACCTGGGTTCAAGCCATGCAATTGTAGTATCAAATAACGTATACCGTTGATTAACAGATGGCCAGTGCATTAAACGACGCCAGTTGAAGCTCGTTCCATCTTCCGTGAACTCACAAAGGCCAAACCACGAACAGACATTAAATGAATCAAATTTCATTATCTTCCGTGCTTGCAGTATTCCCTTAGTGTACCTAAGAATAAAATCCCTGTAATCTTCTAAATCGGGAAAATCTACGACCTCCATAGGATCTTTCAACTTGACTGTCACTCTCATAGAAGGACAATCGAAGCAGAAAATCCTCTCACTCCTGTGCTCAACTATATAAGAAGCAATGTTAGACCACCAGGTAAAATTTGACGTTTCCAAGTCACTTGGCCCTGTCAAATGCTTCCAAATACCCGTTGAAGTGGTATAAGTGCTGAAATCGCCACTTTGATGTAGGCAATAAAATGTCCCCTCACTGAAAACCACGTTAATAGCATATGAGCATCGCCTCAAATCTCCACGAGGATATATCTTTGTGGTCCATGCATCCTCCCCATTGTGGCAGATACTGATCTTCAAATCAGCCAAAAGGTTCTTCCTACTGCAACTTATAACAAATATAATGCAATCTTGAGATGTTGGAGGTGAAGATATAGAAAATATTGGCCAGTTTAAAGATGGAACATCTAAAAAGGGAAGATTGATTCTTGAACCAGAAAATGGGTTGAGGAAGAAAAGTGAAGAACATGATGGGTTCTCTGATGAAGTAGAGAAGAGTAAAAGCCAGCCATACTTGGACAAGAGAAAACGGGATCCACAAAGTTCTGGAATATTCACGTTATAAACATGTCGGGTCCATGAGTGTCCTAGTTTTCCTGTTGTATACAAGATTGGCTGTATACTATCATATTTTGGTGCTGTCAAGAAAACAATCCATGGCAATTTACTGAAATGTTTTGGTGTTGTATAGAAAACAATCCACGGCAATTGCTCATGTGACTGACGTTGAAACAGGTTTTGGCATTGCAAGAAAGCCTGCCGCCAACATCTACAGACAGCACGAAAAGATAATATTTCAGTAAATGAGAGATTCCCTAATACTAATAGTAAAAGATCCATAGGTAAGGAACAGAAGCATCTATTCCCCCCCACCCCAGCACGATTGATCGCCTTGGTTTCCATCTTTTTCACTGGCTCATGCTCCACAACTGTCATGTGAGAAGAATTACATCCAAGCCCAAGGCAATGCATCCTTAATAAATACAATACTTGACCTGAGATCAAAAGCCAAATGAGATTTACAAAAACTAATTAAACATGTCAAAATAGCAGTAAGTAATGAGCTCTTGTCCTATAAAAATGCACGTGTTTTCACACATGTATACACACGCACAAAGATCTAGTCCTCTAGAAATGTACATGTCTCTTTGAGTGTGTTCGTGCACACATACACACAAAAAAGTACCATTCAGAAACGACCTGTGCAATCAAAGCATTCAACATCAAAAGTTACAGAATAATCTACTTAAACATTAAAAACCAAGATGAATACGTGATTAGTTTTGGTTTTTTTTTTTTTCCGCACCCGGGGGGGGGGGGGGGGGGGGGGGGGAGGGGATTGTTTGTGGGTGGGTAGGGATTAGTTCATTTTCTCTCTTATTATAATGTGCAGACTGCAGAGCTTGTTAAGTAATCTAGTTTTCAGTTTATAGTTATTGTTTCAGGATGGGATGCCTCTGTTTTCCTTGTATGTTTTTGAACAGCAAGTAAGGATGCAATAAGCAATCCAAATATTGATTTTGACCTAATCCATTCTCTCTGGGTTCTAAGATTAGGGTCGTGAACTTCCTAAATTACATTCCCACACTCTTTCTTCTGCATAATAGTGGCAGAATTATTTTCACATCACACGAAAAAGAAGAAAAGAATTTGTCAGATATAATAAACTCATTCTATTACACTTGTTTAGCGACTATAAACACAAAAATACCACTTGTTTAGTGGCCTTGATGCTATTAAAGTTAGTTTGAAAAATGTTACAAAAACAAAAAAATTGAATAGAGCTTTCTGATCAAATTGAGAAACCAAAAGTTAAAGAAGTTTGATATTGCTAGCAAAAAAATATATATATATTGAAGCTCTTCCAGTATCTGTATGCCAGAATTTTGTCAAAAACTCAAAATTTTAGATAGACAAAGTATATGGAAAATTAGGCAAGCATCTCATAAAGTAGAAACCATGGTAGCCTCCAAACATCACTTATGGTCACCATTCTGCAGGAAGATCATTAAAAAATATATAATAATTAGCTTTAGCCACTGAAATTTACCAGTCAATTTTCTTGCCTTTCTCCCTCTTGTTCAAACCTTATGCACAAGTTTTCGTCAATTCATGAGGGTTAATAGGCAAGCTAAAACAAGTCAACAGACCTAAAATCATGTATATATTTATACCTTCCCAAGGTTACATCTCAAATTTAGTGATTAGATAGACAACCTAAACTAAGGAACCAGTAGTTATAAGCTTATAGCTATCACATATATTTAGTATATACCCTATACTTTACAAAACTATTATAGCAAAGTAAAAGTGTATCTGGACTGAAAAATGGAGTTCGGCCATGGGTTAGTTGAAATCTATCTTCCATCATATATATGTGCATATATAATGAATAGGTGTGTGGATTACCCAGATTCATCACAAGGTGATCTATTAGGTCCATATAAAAAGTCCCAGTCTAATATATCAGCAAGGGCTCGTTACAAAACAGAAACAGAATCAACATTTTTGTTGTGGATATGTTCATTTGTTATCGGAAGAATGTTTCGTAACATAAAATTCGTTACACGATGTTTGGAAGAAAAAATATAAAAACATTTTTGGTAAAAAGGTCTGGTACAATTTTTTGTTTGTGTACTGTTCACCGTTAAAGTGTTTTTGCTACGGTGCGAAAACATTAGGAAACACCAATTTGAAGCTTCCTATTTGGACCTCTTTTTGGCAACAAATGCAATACTATTCAAATGGCAACAACCGTGCGGTACTTTGCTTTGCTACAGGACACGTCTGCAACACAAAACATCCAACAAAAACATCTGCCAAACAGGTATTGCTCACTCAGGATTTATAATATTAAGTACATTCATTATATCTAAACCATAGGTACACAGGTATGTGTTATTGTCTATTAACAAATTGAACTAGTTTTTCTTTTCCCTGATAATTATCAATGAACTAATCTTAGTCAACACATAAGTGGCACAGCGCATATAATTTAAAAATAATAAATAAAAAAAATCTAACAATTAATGGTGAAAGTAGTTTTAGCATGAACTTCACACATGATATCATACTCATAAAATTGTGTAAAAGATGTAAACATTGAAAATTTTCCAAGAAAAAATGTGTAAACACTGATATATAACTTATAAATCTACATATATAGCTATTCTCCCTTTAAATGTCTGAAGCTCCTGAATATTTCTAACATTTAATGATTTATTTGAAAATGAAAAATCCTCCTTATTTCATCCATTGACCTCCACGTGTTCACAATACAAATATTCTTGATTTATTTAAAAAATGCACGCGCTAGAATTGTCACCGATTGGCTTTTTCCACTGTGCAGTTGTCACTGCTTGCTTGTTTTGCTTCATGCACATGCTTGTTTTATGGTGTGAACTGAGAAATTTAACTCTTGAGAGAGAGGAGAGTGGGAGTGTAGGCTGTGTAGCTAAGCCAGCCATGGCAAGGGAAGAGGAGGTCGCGGAAGATTTTGTGGCAGTGTGAGAGAGAGGAAGGAGGAGGTTGTGTCGCAGCGCTGAGACTGAATTATGTGTGTGTGTGTGGTGGGGGGCTGGGTTTATTTGTTTGTGGGCCTCAGTTTGTTAAGAGTTTAAGTTAAAATTTAATTCTAATTAAACTGACCTTCTAATCTAAACATTAAACTTTAGGAAAAAAAAAAACAATAAATAAATAATTTGCAAGTACATACTAAAAACATAAGCCTAATCCAATTGGAATTTTTTCGGTCCATGATATTTTTCAAATTCTATTCGTACTGCTCCCCCTTTTGTCAATCGGTCTCTCTTCAGCTTGAGTTTTTTCTCTTTCCTCCTCGGCTTTCTCCTACGAAGTCTCCTCTAATTCTTCTTTCCCACTCTTTCTTAACGAACCTCTTTCATAACTAATACTAATCAACGATCAGATGTTCTAACGCAAAGCCGCCTATCAATCCTCAGCTCAATCCCCTTCCCACAAACCAAGTGTACAAAAATGCCAACAACAATAATATTATCATATATGCTAATATTTTTAGTTGTCACTTGCTAGATCACAAAAGTTATAGCTAGTCCTTCTATAAGTTACTAAAGTATTTCTTTAATTTATTATAAATAGTCCTTCTATAAGTTACTAAAGTATTTCTTTAATTTATTCTTGAAAACTATGTTTTGTTCAAGCTTTCCTTTTCTCTTAATTTTTCATCAAGACACGACTTTCTCAATAGTGGAGTCAAAAAACAGTGGAGTCAAACTAAACACAAAAAATATCAAAAATAAAAAATTGAGAAGTAATCACAAAAAAATATCAAAAAAATAAATTGAATTCTTGAACAATTTTTTTTTTTTCTATACTTATTTTTACCCCTTTCTCTATTTTTTTTATAGGTTCTTTTTTCTCATTCTTTGGATTATATGTTATAAAAAATTATATTATAATAAATTTATAGATATTTCAAATTATAATTACATAATACTAGTCCCAAAAAAAAAATAAAAAAATAAAAAATAAATAAAATTCCTGCCCTGGTGTGTTTGTATATTCTTAAAGATAAATACCCATATTGGATTTATATATAATATTAAGTACATTGAGTACACAATAAGGTAAATAGGTATATGATTGTCTATTACAGAATTAATCTAGTTTTTTTATTGATAATTATCAATAAACTAATCTTATTGCGCATATATATATATATATATATATATATAACAATTAATGCTGAAAATAGTTTTAGCATGAACCTCACTTGAGAGAAGAAATTCGAAAAGAGCACAAAACATAGTATCTCAAAACCAATCCAACAATTAAATCATACCCAAAACACTGAATACTACCGATTACAACCCCCAAAACACTGAATACCACAACCAACAGTCTCCCAAAAGACATCTGAAATACTAACCAAAGAACATGAACATCCCATTAACAAAACTAAAATTGAAATAAGTCTTACCGAATTTGAAAAAGATGATGAATCCGTGGTTGATTACTGAGAAGTTGGTTCGTTGTCGGCTGTACCCGAGTGAGACAGATCTGCAATTTTGGTGTGAACTGAGAAGTTTAACTCTGAGAGAGAGAAGGAGAGTGGGGGTGTAGGCTGTGTAGCTAAGCCAGAGATGGCAAGGGAAGACGAGGTCGTGGAAGATTTTGTGGCAGCGTGAGAGATGGGAAGAAGGAGGTCGTGTCGTGTCGCGGCTCTGAGACTGAATTATATATATATATATATATATGTATATATATTTATGGGTGTGTGTGTGACTCGGTTTATTTGTTTATGGGCCTCGGTTAGTTAAGAGTTTGGGTTAAAATTTAATTCTAATTAAATTGACCTTCTAATCTAAACATTAAATTTTAAGGAAAAAAATAAATAAATAATTTGAAAGGACAGTCTAAAAACATAAGCTAGATATGACAATTTGTATCGCTTGTTATGTTCTGTCCGGTTAATAATGGGTATGAAAATTATTTTTATACCGTAAGAATGAATATGTGTATAAATTTTAGGAATTCTTATCAATACATGGGCTTAAGGTCCAAATATTACAATACAATGAGGATAAGGTCTTAAAATTTCAATAATTGGATGGACCACCAAATTATTTCTCTAAAATGAATTCCACTTTATACTTTATACCCCACAACAAACTATATTACTATAATGACTCAAAGCAAAATATTATTATAACATAAAAGCTTTAAAACATGAAATAAACTTACGGAAAGATCCTTGAACAAGCTTTCTAATATTTTTCTTTACTTTTTGATTTTCCACAATAACTTAAAATTTCATGATAGATTAATATTGACTTATAGACTTCTTTAGACAAAAGATCATATATATAAATTAAATTTAACGAAACAGTATAGGCTCTGATACCAAAATTAAGTTGGACCCAACTGGATAGAAGCACGCAATAACATAGAGATAAAATTAACAATTAAATCACAGAAATGACTGCGAACATGATAACGCTCTAATAACGCCTTGTAAAAACGCCTGAACACCGGCAATAACGGGCTAACAAGCCAATAGTTTGAGTCAACTCACAGAAGAAATTTCTAATTTAAAACTAAGGCTACTTGTACTGGTTGGATTCAAGAAAATTCTAGGATCTACACTGTCTGCCTAAATAAAATCTATATATTTAATCTTTTGCTGACAGAAGTCTTTTGCCCGAAAGTACTGGAAATACTAAATAAAGAAAAAAAGTTTTTGAAAAGGAGCAAACTGAATGATTTATTTCATGAAAAATATATACATGGATACACACTGTTTATACATGGATACATTCTCACACACTAATTTACAAAGGGATATGTACTGAAAGAAATCACAAAAGAAAGCACACTAGAAGACTATGGCGGAGGATTGGAATGCTTGATGACTCTTAACTTGGTTGCTCTAAAACTCGATGATCTTTACTTGAGCAGAGGGGCTCCTTTTATAGGAAAAGTGCGAGATGAATATTTGGTTGAGATTGTAGATGTTGTATAGACGGTTGAGATGAGAGATGCTTTAGAGATAAGATTGCTTGAATTATTGTTGAACTATTGATGTTTGCCTCTGAAGAGTCTTATCAGCTTTTATTGTTGATAATATGCTTTCGGTGGATCTGCTTTTACTATTGCAAATCTACTTTTCTTGGATGCTGTGGTTGCCTTTATCTGTACACTGTGGAGAATCTGTTTTTTCTTTAGAATTCTTGGATATTGGACAAATTTATGTCGGTAGTGCTATCTGGTGGGCTGTTATCTCTGTGCATGCGGGCCAAATATGCATCAGTGCTGTTTGGTGAACTGGTTTCTTCATTTCTGTAGGCGATTTCGAACTGTTCCAGCAACATTTTTTCTTCATTTAATATTTCTTTAACTTCTGAAGATATCAATCTCTGGAGGAGATTTAATGACATGAGGAATTCTCGCTTTGACGAAAATTTCTATATTGATATTATGGTCATAGAGTCTAAAACCAGGGCTATAGCTTGAGTTAACCTGACGATAGACTTTATAATAAACCAAATGGTTAAAGGTAGCTGATTCTATTTCATTACAAAAGTTATTTACAAAATCAATATGTTGGGTAAGAACTTTAACTTCTATGGGATCAGAATGAATGTAAATTCAATGCTATCCCAAAATTATAGCTCCATCTTTTACCCATTCTGAGGAGTACTGTGGATTTGAAGGAGAATTGGACTTTCTGGCATGAAATTTTGGGTTAGCTTTTGTTCGAATGCAATGGCTTGGTTTAATCGATTTGGAAAATTACCTAAGGAGTTTAGGTATTCTAATGGCATGTCGTTTGGTATGAAATGTTGTAAATTATTCCTAATTCTAAAAGCTAGCTTAAACAACAAGTGGTAGTTCTTGTAGAGAAACAAGTTTTTCTGGTTATTTCAAAAGGATAGAAGAAAACAATGTCTACGTCTAACAAGATAATGGCCATAGGTATGAGTCTGTTTGTATAAATCGTAGGAAAAAATAGTTATAACGTGTTTCTTTGGGTGGACTATTATTTCTGAGGTAGTTTTGGATATCAACTCATTCTTTGAAACCATCAAACTTAGTTTCTTCAAGGATAGGTTTTTGAGGTAGTCATCAAGGATGAGTTCAACTTATTGTCTCAGGATTTCTCTGTATATGGGAGAGAACATGGGTAACAACTAGGCATACTTGATTTGTACTTGCAGAAGTTTAACTTTCTGAAGATTTTCATCTTCATTAGTCCTTTGCTCAGAAATGGTTAGTTTTGTGGGATTTGCTGACGTTTTTTAATAACCTAGATTTAACTTTTAAAAATGAGATTTAAGTGTCTCATGTTCTTTCTGTAGAGTATGATATGCTTTGTTAGAAGCTAAAAAATATTCACTTAAAGTATTTACATTTCTAACGAGGGTTCTATCGGGATTATTTCTCGAAAACCAAATATTATTTAAAATAAGTTTTTGGTCAGGAAAAAGATTATGTCTAACGCGGAACTCTTGAGCTGGGTTTTGGATAATCAAAAGAGGATTAAAAGTGCCTGGTATAAGGCTATAACTGTTGTTGCTCTTTGTTTCCATTCCTACAAAATTTAACAATCAATTAGTAAACGGGATAAAATATCTGCTAAATAATTCTCTTTTCCTTTGACACGCTCAAATATAGGTTTAAAACCTCTTCTAGTAATACAGCCAATAAAGAAAATCCATCTTTTTACAAACATCTGTTGTTGCTTTGCTTTGTTTGCAAATTTAACTATGTTATCACAATCTGTTCTTATAAGAAATTCTTTATCAAGGAATCTCTAAAATTTTTCAATAGAGTTGGTTACTCCTAAAATTTCTAGATCTGTTGAGGGTAAAGTAGATTGTGCTTTATTAAAAGTTCCACTAGCATGGCAACAAATTTGTTCTTCATCTCTAGAAGATTCTTTTGTAGGTCTTTGAAGAAGTAAGCCTGCCCATCCTTGAGCTGATGCATTTGTCTGGATTATTTTATAACTATTTTCAAGTGGGAGTTATAAGGGTTTTAACTGAGTGACTAAAGATTTAATTTTCTTGACAAGCTCTCTGTCTTGATTATTAAAATATTTTTGACCATTTTTTTCCTAATTTAGAGTATAATGGTCCTACTAACTGACCTAATTTTGGGATAAATTTGCGACCGTAGTTTAGTAATCCTAAAAATGCTTGTAGTAACTTGGTTTCTTCTAATTTATCAAGAAAGTCTAAAATCTTCTGGACAATATGTGATTGTAGTTCTACTTTTCCATCCTTTATGTATAAGCCCAAAATTTCAATATCTTGTTTCTCTAATATCATCTTTTTACTACTTATAATGAGTCCCTGTGTTATAAATTCATTGAATATAACTTCAAGATGTTTTCTATACTTTTCTTTAGTTTGACTGAAAACTAGAATATCGTCTATGTAAACACAATAGAACTTTGAATGTTTATTGAATATTGTATCCATTTTTCGTTGGAACTCCTGCGGTGCATTTTTTAATCCAAAAGGCATAACAAACCACTCATAATGTCCTTCAGGACATGTAAACGCAGTCCATTCAATGAATTCGTTAACCATATGGATTTGCCAAAATCCTGATTTACAGTCAAATTTAGAAAACCATTTTCTATCTTGTATTCGATTTATTAAAACATCTTTATTAGGAATTTTATAACTGTCATCGTATGTGTTATCATTTAACATTTTATAATTTATAACCATACGAGCTTTTCCGCTTTTTATTTCGGCATGATTTCTTACCATAAAAGTTGGACTCTTATGTCTTCTATTACTTTTAGTAATAAAAGTTCTTTAATTTGCTTTTGGAATTCTTCTTGATCATCTATAGTATAAGGATTATCTCGTGTCTTTGTAGTTATAAAAGGATTTATTATGTTTAGTTTTACTTTGATTTTGTTTTTGTACCAGTATTTCTAGGGATCTTCTCCTAGAATCTCAATGGTTTCAGCTAGTCTTATAAGATTATCAATGTTTAATTTGGGATTTTTAAATATAGCTTTATTATTAAGTAAAATCTTTAGTTCATCAAAATGACTAAGAAATATTAATACTTCAGAAACATCTTCTATAAATTCAGTTAGATCAAATAAATTTTCTGTCTTTTCTTCTGTCATATGTAATTCGGTTATAGGTAAAGTATTGACATAAGTAATGGTTCCTTTTTCTTTTTGTGGGATACACAGATCTCTAGATGAAATAAAGGTTCATTTCTTAAAAAACTGTAAACCGGTAGGGGTATACATGAATCTTCCGGTGAGTGAATTTATGAAATTTCATCCTAAAATAAAATCATAAGTACTGGGAGTATTATTTACTACGTAGGTTTGTGGTAAAACAAATTTCTCATTATTAATTAATATAGGAATATTCTGAACACAATGGGTTATAGGTAATTTTTCATTATTATATTAGCTCATATTAATATTATAATTTAGTTTTATTAATGCTTCCTCTGATACTAAGTGTTTATGAATTATACTTTTAGATGCTCTAGTATCTAACATGGCTAAAGTTTGGACTAATCTTTCTTTAAATTCTAATGTTACCGGAAATTGGATTAAACTAGATGGCTTATATATTGAATTTATAGATTCGACTAACATATTTTCTAGCTTATTTTCGTATTTATTATAACAGTCATGACATAATAGAGTTTTACAATGGTCTTTACAATAATGTCCGTCCTTAATGGACGAGTTGCAT